ATATAATTGTGTCCTTACAATGGGGATGTTTGGTGGAGATTAAAATTAGATTTTTAGTAGTCCGTAATATAAATTTTTGAAATGTGTGGTTGAAAAGTTGTGAAACTCATAAAAGATGTGATTGATATTGATTGTTTGGTTTTAATTTAGATTAAAATTTTAATCATGAGCAAATGGGGCCATTAACTGGTAAAATATATATTTTTAATAAATTAATTTATTGAATTTATTATATTTAATTAATGAGTATTTTTAATTAATTAGCTAAATACCCGTTTTTTGTATTTTATAAACTTAAAACCTGAATTTTGAATTGTTGAAACTTAAACTCTAATTTATGAATTCTTCCCTTAGTGGAAATTCCACAAAACCTGAATTTTAAAGATTCAATTTCAAAAATGAGATAAAATCTATTTATATAAAAATCAAATATTAATTCAAATCTTTAATACTACCCAAACCCTAAAAATCTCAAAATCCCAAATTATTACCCACATCTCCCTCCCTCCCTCCCTTCCTTCGACTTCAACAAGGAAAAGAAAGGTTGCTCCAGCGACCAACCAGTAAGCCGCACACGATCGGCGCAACAGTGCCTTACAGCTACAACAACACCGCTACACACGATCGTCTCGCGCTAACGCTCGAAGTGGAACCTGCCACTGCTCTCCCTTTCTTCACCATCCTCCCATTCTCCATTTTCTTTATGTCGAGACGTGTGGGGCTGTGTAAATGGTGGTGGTGGTGTATTGTGGGTGGTGGTGTGTTGTGGGCGTGGCGATAGATCTGTGGTAAGGTGGTGGTTAGGTGTTGTGTAAATGGAGATGGAGATAGAGATAGAAATAGAGAATATGGTGGTGGTGTGCCGTGGGTGGTACGGTGTGCGGTGGTGGATATATGTAGTGCGCAATGGTGGTGGTGGATCTATGCAGTGCGCAGTAGTGGTGGTAGATCTATGTTGCAACGACGGCGGCGATGATTGTAGGGTTGGGAATTTTTTTTTTTTGGTTCTAGGAGGAGGTGGTGGAGGAGGTTTTGTGGTTTTAGTGGTGGTAGTGGTGTGGTGATTGTGTATAGGTAGTGGTGGTCATGTTAATATCAGTATTTTTTAGATGATGGTTTGTTGCAGGGAGGTGGTGGTAAGTGGTTCCATCGACGGGGTTTCAATTGCTATGTTGTTTGTGGCAGTGGTGAGGCGATTACAAGTGTTGGTGGTGATCACTAAATTATTTGGTTGATTGTGACCATTAAATTGATTAATTTGTGATCGATAAGCAATATTCGACTAATGAAAAAGATAAATTGTGACAAAAAAATAGCGTGATTTAAAAAATTGTTAATTTGTGGTCGATAATTTGATAATTTGTGACCGTCTAATAAATTGTGACTAATATTTGTGATTTGTGACCGATAATCAAATCGTGACCTATAAAATTTTTGAATGTGACTTTAAAATAATTTTTGATATATAAAATTTGTGATTTGTGACCAATGAATAATATATGACTTATTAATTTTATAAATTTGTGACCAATGAAAAATTTGTGGCTTATAACATTTTCGATTTGTGATTGTAAAGTGACCTATACAATTTTTTATTTGTGACCGATGAATAACTTGTGACTAAGTAATTTATAATTTGTAACAAAATTATATAGAATTGTGACATTAATATATTTAATTATTTAATTTATAAATAAAATTTTTAAAAATCATTTGAAATTTTAAATCTTATGTTTTCAAATTTGAAATGGGTGAAATTTAACCTTTTATTTATAAATTTTTCTCCAACATTGATGATAGCTTTTAATATAGTTGGAACAACGAAATTGTCAAAGACAAAATCACAAACTTGATCCTAAACCAATTTTTTGAAGTTATAGGTTTGGTATTCGTCTATATTTTGAATTAGAAGTAAATCAATTTGGTTTAGATTTCCAAACCGTTGAATCGCTTATAAAAAATAAATTTGAAATTAAATTAATTTAAGTTTTATCCAATTCAATAAAACTAAACACATCAATTAAAAATACTCGTTCACATTAGACCAAATTGAGTTAAACCCAATACTCAACTCATTCAGTCCCTGTTTGGCAATCATTATTTAGGAAAAATAATATTTTTAATAGTGATTTTCAGAAGAATGCGTGATTAAAAAATAGAAAAACATTTTTTTTTATTTACGTGAAAAATATTTTATTGTGTGGATGTGTAATTGAAAATAAGAAAGTTGAATTGTCAAATAGAGTCTTAAATTGAATAGCTAACTAGGAATTTTTCATCATTCAAAATATATCAAATCATCCGCGCTGCATCTGAATCGAGAATGTAGAAATCTCAAATTTGGCTGAAGTGCCAAACAATTATTGTTGAACTATATTTACCGATCATCCATCACAATTGAATAGATAATTGAATTTTTGTGTCGTGTGACT